CCAAGCTAAACAACCACTGAGCATAATCGAGCACAAATTATGAGCATTCTTTTGTTACGACAAAAAAGCGTTACACCTTACTTTTAAACACCGATATCTCAAAAACTAATCGTACGATTTAAGATTTTGCTATAAGAATGTAAAGGAAAAGCAACGAGCTATCCAACGATTGGCAACACAAGGTAGCTTCGTATTAAAAAAAATAAGTTACGGAAGCTAGCTCCTAACAGCCTCATTTCGATTCCCCTCCAGTCCCCCGATACGTATTTAAGATCTTCCGGAAAGTATTTTTTTGTCTAGAGAGGTAAAAAGATCTTCAAAAGACGATACCGATCTTTGTTGTCATTGTGATTGGCCTGTGACGGATTCGGTCCCTCTAGGGAACTGCCTACCGTCTAAAAAAACTTCCCCTGTTATCGGCAGTGTGCTTTCCCATGCCCTGGAGCCGCTTTCGCATAACTTCAGGGGGGTGCCTTCGTGAGGTCACTCATGGTCTTCTGAATGCCTCCAGCCACATAATTTTCTCTTATTATGCGCATCTCTTTTCCGTATCTCATCCTATGTCCTGTTTCTTCTATTTTCTTTTTGTGTTTTTATTCATCATCATCACTGCTATCACATTCCAGTCCTTTTCTGATTGTAATAGGAGGTTTGCTACGTTTTTTTTTTTATTAGCTCCGTATTTAGTTTGTCTATCACTTCTTGTCTCTCATTATGAAATCGTGGGCACCCGAAGATTGTATGTTCTGGGTCATCCCTATGTTCGTCGGAAAACCAGCATTCCGCGTTCTCTTGCTTCTTTATTTTTTGCAGGTAAGTGTCAATCGTGTCGTGCCCGTTGAAGGCCTGTGTGAGATAGTATTCCATAGTTTCCCATTTCCTTTGACACCACATTCTCACGTCCTTGATAAATACTTTTGTCCATCCTTGATATTGTTCCCATGCGGCTTGCCATTTCTCCATTGTGTTTTCTTTCGCTTCTTGTGCGCTTTCTTTACCCCTTGTGTATATTATATCCCGTTCTTCAGCAATTAAGTCAATCGGAGGCATGCATGCGATCGCCAGAACAGCGTCGCTCGAGACTTCTGTACGCCGAGACGACCTTTATTGCCATTCTGCGATTTACTTTCTCTGTAAGGTTCCGGTAGTGTTTGTATTTGACTCTGTTCTCCTTGCCGGTATCGCGTAGGACTATGGGAGAGTACCGCCGTTACCAGGATCTTTCTTTTAGTCACACTTGGGCTTTTTGTGTTCGGCATAAGGCCCAAATTGTCACCCTGTAGGTACGTAATCTGACCCAACCCCCACATAATTGCCTGTATATTTCAGATGTTACAAAGTTAATAATGCTGCATACTCTATTGATTCCGATAACTTCAAATCGATCACCTCTCACACGTGCGTTTTAGCTTATCTTTATAGATATGGCTAGATCTCTACACTCTAAATAGTCCGGTCGAGATAGAAAGTCCCGTGCGTTTGTTGAGTTGACCTTTTTTTGGATTTTGGATTTTGAGAAAATTACTTGTTTTGCATTTTATTTTTTAACATTTAAATGTGAACTTTAAAACTAAAAACTAAATGTTAATATTTATTCATCATCCGTGTCGCTATCTTCCACTGCTGATTCACAGTTATTGGTTCATCGGCTTCTTGTTCTTCTACCTCCTCATTACTTTGGTGTTGAAGAAACTTTCGGGCAACCCTAGGTAATGCAGGTTCTGTATATACATAACAGGCCGCAATCCGGTCTCTTCTACTTTTCACCCAAAGTTTGTAGGAACTAAACCTTCCAACTACCGTGCATGTTTATATTCATAAGCCTGCAAGTGACTCCTGAGACAATGCTGTTTGAAGGAATTCATGTCTGGCGGCAACCGTGCGGTATCAAATTGTTGTAACTGCCGCCACTTACGTGCCCTAGCACGAGCCAACGTTTTGCTTACTAGATCGTTATATATAACCCTAATTGTTAGTAACTCGAGATCAAGAAGAAGCTGTTCTGAAAATTCGTCACTAGAACCACGTTGCTGTATTGTCTGATAATAACTGACATTATCAGACTGAAGGATACGTTTCATTGCGGTGAGCTTTCCCAAACCAAAGAACCCTTCTACAGAATCGCACCCAGTAAAAGTATAAAGACCAACAACAGCCGAAACTTTATATGAATCAAATCACAGAGATCGACAATTAAAAAACTCGAAACTACTTGGTTTTTTCTTATGCATGTTCGGTTAAATGGCTTATGTATGAGGCAATCATCCACACATCTGTGTCAAAATCGAAAACAACTGAATGAGAATCGCTTAACTGTGCCGTTTGGAAAAATGCTCTAAAATCCGCTTCAGATGGGAAGGATGCCTCAAATCGGGGATCGCATTCGCCTGTTGTAAGGTTATAGCAAAGGAGGCCTCTTGTGCAATACCAATCAGCATTATGAATATATTTGACCCATTATTTTAAGAGAAATCCTTGCAGCCTCCGTTTATTTTCCGGTTTCGAGAGGAAAAAACGACATGATTTACCTGTAGGCATTTACTGGTCAGCCACAGGATATACATTAGGAACAAAGCCGTACGATTGCATTCGACGTTTCTGCTCATGGTGCTTCACACTTTCCTTAAACACTCTCTCATCGTGTATATCATTTATCAGATGAAAGGCTACAGCTTGAGGATGGCGATCAAGTATATATAAAGATTTACCGCGAATCGACTCCATGTCTTGCAAGCGTGTACCTTATTCCAAACCATTCCACATCAACTATGACATGATATTGTGTCGGTGGTAACACAGGACATCATCATACGAGATTCCAATTTTCAATTTTTTTAGGATATTAATAAGCTCCTTGCTACCAGTTAGATTATGCACAGACATGGACAGACTTACTTGCATTGGTTGACGTTTTCCAGAAATTACGTGAGTTTTAAGTTCCGATGTAAAACGTACAGCTGGTTGTAGCCGTTCCGGAACTAATAGCGCGACAGTCTTCAAGTTTAGCACTAGGATTCGCAAGTAGTGCTATTAAATTATGTATGTCATTTGAAGTACTGTCTACTTTTAGGACTTCAAACTGGAAAGGCCAATGTGGGTAAGACATTTTGCGGTGCTTACTATCTAAAATTCTAGCTACGTTCCTAATAATGACCGAGGTTTGCGTGCCCCAGGTATTCACAGCACTCTCAACGTACGCTCCCCCATGTTTTTTAAAAAAGACTATTGATGAATCGTTTCGTCTGTATCTGGTTTGGAAGCCAATGTCATCTCCAAAACGCTTTATTAGTTTCTCTCGAAATGATCGTAGGGCGTGTCTATCGTCACAAGTGTTCCTTATTTCTGCGTCTGAAATCAATAAGTCTCATTTTATTTGTTCATACTCATACAGCAAGTATCTAAGAGTGTAAACTTCTTTATTTCCATCTAAACATTTAACAACAAATTCACACAATTTATTGAATGCAACAGTTTGCTTCTGTGTTATTCACTGAACTCTTTGCTGATGCTGTTCTTTTTGTTTTCCATCGCAATTATGTGGTAAATTGGTTTGCATAAATCTTCCAACAATCTTTGTGATATTGAATATTTAAAGCAACGGCTTTCAGAATACTCCCAGAATTATTGCAAAATGTTCCTAAACTTTCTAACCTAGTCTTGGTCAGCTAGCTCATCTTTAACAAATTCAACTGATTTGCAGAAGGTATTCCACGCGTCTAACGTTTCTAGTCTGTGAAATTTTGTCGAAATTCGTTCACCAAGTCTATTTTGAACTGCCTTTCCTCCCAGTGATTTTGTGCAAAAAACACAAGTAGCATCAACGGCAGTGATACGGCTACTTTTTAATCTGGATTCATTTTTTCAACACGTTTTCATGATCGTCGCTAGGATCACTTCAATCAATGGCTTTCTCCTTATTTTTTTTTTTTTTGAGCTGTTTCAAGGTTTTGTCCAGTAATGTCAAGCTAACATATTTTGTCAATTTTTTTAAGTACAGAGTTAACCTCAATTATTTTATAAACATTATCATATTTTGTTCCCAAATCCTTCCATTCTTCTGCCTTTTTGGCTATGCTATTCCATGTTTCTTGGTTCTGTTGCTGTTCTGTTCTGTTGAAGTTCCAGGAATATTGCTATTGCTATTTACTTACCTGTAAAATAAATTTACAACTTACTATACATACATCCTACCCAAGTTTTTGTAAAATTATAAGACTGTGTTTCCTTTTTTACTGGCAGAGCTAGCGCAAAGAGAAACTCCAATCTAGCTTTAGACATTAAACTAAAATTTGAGACATATGAATTTGTAAACAAACCTGAAATATAGCTATTTATGTAACAAGTTGTAAAATGAGCGTGTTTTTTGCACCAGAGGTGAAGATTGGCTCACGAGCGAAGCGAGTGGTATGACACATTGTGTGCAAAAAACCAACCATTTTGCGACGTGTTTCATACAAGATTTTTTGTAATTCATGTTTAGATTGAAATTATTTAAAATACTTACTCATTTTAACACTGACACGGTACGCACTCTAAATCCCATTTGAACACTGACACGGAACACACTTTTAATCCCATTTTAACACTCAGTGAAGAAATGAGATCGCAATGAACACTGTATCAGAACACACTGCTTATTTTTGCGTTTGTGTTGAAATGAACCACGTTTGACAATCAAAATTAATGTCAAAAAGATGACATTTCGTAACTGAATTACAAATAATAGAATTACATCAACGTAAATCAAATGAAACAACTGTTTTTGGGTTTAATGTGTTTATTTTAGGTGTTATTTGGTAAAAATCAATATGGCGGCCGAACGACAATATTTTGGAAATGGCTCCTATCTTAAATTTAATCTTTAATACCTAATGAATTAATTACAATAAAAAAAGGTCACCTATTAAGAACGCACGGGATGTGATGTGTCGACCGGACTAAAACTAGACAAAAAATTTGTTGTAATTTTTTTTGTTTGATTAAATTTTGCATCAAAAAAGATGTTTGCGATTTCTCAGAGTGAGCGGGGAGCTTCAAACTGCCCGTCTAGACATATCAATTTGATAATTTTATGTTTAGTTAATGAGGTAAGGTCAGTACGATATTTTGATGTAAAAGTGTTCACTTTCTTGAAGCTTGACAATTGCAGGTAAGGACATAGGTATAAAACATAAATTGTACTAACATTCTTCTCTGAGACAAGATTTGCAGTTTGAGATTTTTATTGCAGGTACAAAAATAGAACAAATCAGTGATAACTAACAGCAAGTCATTGCAGCATGCAAAAATTTCGTTCAAGAGGAATACTAATTTTTATTTTTTTTTTCCAGTCAGTTAAACTTGATTTGGAATAAAACGTCAATAAGTAACACAATGTCGGTAGAAGCCACTGCAGGTACCTCACCGCGAACCACTCACTATCTGCAAAAGTACCCTGACCTGGATCCGCAAACGCTTCGAATAATTCTTTCATTTTTGGACTTAGTCGAGTCAAAGTTGAGGTCGGAATCATTCAGTGAGTTTCTAAACAGCTTCACGCTGTTTAGGGCTCAACGTATCGATGCGACAGGCCTTACCCAACGTGTGTTGGACCTATTTGAAGGCTTTCCGGATTTGGTTGTCCAGTTTAGAAAATTTTTGCCACCGAATTATAGGATTGTGGAACAAAGAAGTGAGCAGGGTGGTACCAAGTTTTTCCTGTCGGTCGATGTGCCCAGTCAGCCACCACCTCCACCTAGTCAGTTGCCGCAATCACCATCACAGCAACTGCAACAAGCGGTGTCTCCATCTGCAGAAGACGTAGGGAACCAGATTGTTGAATTGAATCATCAGGTAAGGATTTGCAGCTATCAGGGTAGATCTTTCCATACTGCCTTTCTTCCATACTGCCTTTCAGGAAGCCTGCCCCAGATTATTTCTGACAAATTTTTACATTATGACATTATGTTAAGGTTAAAATCTTCGGTTTTTTTTTCGTATTTGCTTAGGGCTTCAAATGCTGCACTGTGAATACTCTCTTTGATATGGTGGTAATGCATTTCAAGGTTTTGGAAGTTCATACTACTCTGTAATTTTTGATCCAATCTCTTCATGTACACCCACTTTACGCTTTGCTCTTCTAGATATTTTAGGTTATATTTCTCAGGCACAATATTGTCTTCTTGTTTTTTATTCCGTTTCCTTTTGCGGTGTTTCCGCCCGGGATAAAGATTTTTGTTTTCAGGAGGTAGTGATCGCTACCACAGGTCGCTCCCCTATATGCTCTCACATCCTGGAATTTTATGTTCGAGCTCTGTTTTCCGATGGTGTACCTAGTCAATAATCAATGTTTGTTATCTAGTTTCATTTTTCCATGTATACTTATGTATTTATTTATGCTAAAAGTAACCGTTTAGGATTTTTAGGTTATTTTATTGGCATATTGCTATGAGCCTTTCTGCATTGTTATTCGTTACATTCTCTCCAAATTTTCCGACTACCTTGTCGTTGATTTTTCTTCCTGTTCGTCCGGTAAAGTCTCCCAGCAATATTATTTCTCTTGGTTAAATATTACTAAAAAATATGAGGAAAACAAAAACCAAGGATATTATCAATACAATAACACCCCAGCAATGGGAAGAGTACTTTGAAGAATTACTGACGGAACAGCGGGCAGAGTTTAAAGAAGAAAAGGAACAGAAACGAAACATAAAACTGTAGGATCACCAATAAGAGTTATGCATGAAGAAGTTAAAAAACACTCTAGCTTCTTGAAAAACGGTAGGGCACCAGGCCCAGGAAAATATATGGAAAATTGATAAAGTATGGGACCAATAAACTCTACAAACATTTAACAAAGCTATTTCAAACATGCATAGATAAACAAGTACCGGAAGAGTGGAAAATAAGCTATTTAACAACGATATATAAGAAAGGAGATAGAAACAAATGCGAGAACCACCGAGGAATTGTAGTAACAAATACGCTGAGCAGAGTGTATGGAAAACTCATAAAAGCCAAGATAGAGAACGAGTACAAAGATAGTGAGGCAGAAGAACAGGCTGGTTTTAGAGGAGGAAGATCAACTGTACCATTTATTTAGTTTGACCCCGATAATGGAAAAGAAACTAGCGTATAACCAAAAACTCCATTCACTCTTTGTAAATCTAAAGAAAGCATAAATGACAATGTTCCGCTGAAAAAGCTTTCGGAAGCACTGGAAAAGACCAATATCAACTTAAAACTGATAAAGGCAGTAGAAACGCTATATAGTGATGTAAAGACCAAGATTAAACAGGGAAGCATAATCAGTAAAGGCTTTATAGCAACTGAAGGACTTAAACAGGGATGCTGCATATCACCAACACTTTTCAAAATATACTTAGAACAAGCGCTTAAGGGATGGAAAAATAAATGCAAAAACATGGGAATACCGCTCAATGAATACAATCTATAAGCTTTGCAGATGATCAAGTATTAATTGCACAGGAGTCAGGACTATGATGGCCTAGAGTACATGACACGAAAATTGATAGAAGAATACGAGAAATGGGGTTTGGAACTTTTGGAAGTAAATCTAACTAAAACAGAATATATGACTATTGAAGGTGAACAGCGAACCCTGAAATTGAATAACGGACTAGAAATAGAACAATGTACTGAATACAAATATTTGCGCATGAAAATCTCACAAGAGGGAACCCTAGACGAAGCAATTAAGGATCGGAATATACAAGGACGCAAGGCAATATCCCTACTAAATAGTTTACTGTGGGACCAAAATATCAACAAAACTAACAAAACTAGAATATACAACACCCTAGTCAAAAGCATAGTCACATAAAGTTCAGAAGTCTGGCCATTGAAGAACAGAACCGAAAAAATGCTGGAAGCAACTGAAATGGATTTTTGGAGGAGATCGGCAGGCAGGTCAAAAATGGAAAGGATAACAAATCTGAGAATTAGGGAGATTATGGACGAAAAACACACAATACTAGATGATATAAAGGACAAACAGCTGATTTGGTTCGGACATGTACAAAGAATGACAGATACAAGAATACCCAAGCAAATTGTTGAGTGGAAGCCAGGGGGAAGAAGAAGACGCGGCAGACCAAGAAGAAGCTGGAGAAGTGGAGTGAACGAAGAAATGAGAGACAGAGGCTTGGAGGAGGATGCCTGGATTGACAGAGATGGTTGAAGATCGGGAATCGGAAGACGTAGACCGTTATAAACCGATGATTATATATATAAAATCTTCGTTAATATGGCTCTTCTAACTGAATAAAAAGTTTTCTTAGTAGAGCACTATTTCCAGTCATACGGAAGGAATAACGGCCGCAGTTTAAAACAAATCTCAGAAAAATAGCAAAAACCACTCACAGAATTCTTTTGAAGCTTGTTTGCTATGGTGCACATTTTGAACATATGCATTATAAAAATTATTAAATAGATATAATTTCTATATTCGATAAGTACTGGTTATTTTGGCGGATACTGTACTTTATCGCAATAAGTAACATGATCGTTCACAATCATACGTGAAACATAGTATCTAACAAATTGCTACTGCAACTTCTCTCGCAGGACACAATTCTTTGGCCAATATTTTCGATCACATCAGAGCACATTTCCGGTGCAACTTCACGAATAATGCTCGAAACCTTATTTTTCAATTTTTGGATTGTCTCGGGATTGTTCACATACGCTTTGCTTTTGATGTAAACCCACAAAAAAAGTCTAGCGGCGTTGGATCGCAAGATCTAGGCGGCCAATTAACATACCCATTTCTTGAAAGAAGCTTACCTACCTTCAAACTATGTTTGCAATGAGTCAATCGAGGAGTCAATGGTTTCTCTTGCTGTGTGACATGTTGCGTCATCCATATTCAGGCCACAAAAAGTCACGAAACATTGTGCGGTAACGCTCACCAACATTTACCGTAACAGCTTGACCTTCTTCATTTCCGAAGAAGTATGTTCCAAAAATGCTTCCAGCCCAAAAGGCGCATTATACAGTTACACGTTCAGAATGCATTGGTTTCTCATGGATTTTCCTAAGATCTTCACTGCCCCATATGCGGCAGTTGCTTCTACTAACATATGCGCTCAAATGAGAATGGGCTTCGTCGCTGAAGATTACCTTGTTACAAACTCATTATCAATGGCCATGTTTTGGAGCACCCACCCAATTAAAAAACTCACGACGCTGCTTATGATTAGCTGGTTTTAAATCTTGGGAAAGCTGAATCTTGCATGGACGGAGAGCCAAGTCTTTCTACAAAACTGTGTGTGTGGTAGTCTCGCTAACACCCAATTGCGGCAAACGCCGTCTAACACACGTACCGGGGATTTGCGGCCACACTTTGTCGAACAGCCTCTTGCCAACAGAACGAGTTGGACGTGAAAGTTCTGCTACTCTCACATCTTGCACAGACCAAGACCTTTCAAATTGGCGCACTATTGTGCGATATGTCCTTACCACTGAAGATTGATTTTCAAAATAAGTTTTGACAATGTAAGCACGTTGCTCTACTGTATGTCAATCCATGATTAAAGTTATACTGGATTACACATCAAATGAAACAAACAAAAAAATCATCGAAATATTTCTGATAATAAAATATACTCAAATAACATCGAACCTCTTAACGGCTATTTGCACGGCTATTTGCACGGCTTCAATTTAAGACGTTGATGGACAGAACGAGAACGTCTATAGACGTCTTATTTTCATCGATGTTACGTGACACATCGTCTATAGACGACATTTTAAAAATAACGAGTTGTGACACAACGACGGTAGACGTCGGCTCTCACATATAAATACTATACGAACAAATTTATACTGTCACCACATGCACAGGGAAATATAGGTTACTGTTATGTCACCGCATTTTGAAATTTGGCCGTTTAGAAGTGGGAAGCTGGGTAACGCATGTCTGGTCGACACGTCAGTAGACGTCCGGCTGCCATTAGTCAGACATTGTTGTATTTTTGTTGTGTCACCACGTGTTCAAGAAACTGGTGAATTTGAATAAGGTGTATACGGATATTTGCATATAAAATGTAAAAAGTTTTTCTATAACAATTTCTTGTGTACCGGAGATTCAATCGCATTTATTATTTCGTATATTTGTTGAAGATTATTCTAGTATAAGTATTGAGGTTATATACATAAAATATTTGGCGCGCGTTTCGGAAATTGTCTGTGACGTCTATAAACGTTATGCCACATTACATCTACAGATACATATTTGATATTACATGACGTCCATGGTCGTCGTTGTTCACAATTTTTTTCTTTTTAAACTGCTTTTTTGCATAAATTATATGCGCTGAAAGAAATTCAGCACTTTCCCTATTCTACTTTGCAAAATACATAGAGTGTCACAACACTTGCTTACACAATTGACGCACTGTCCATCAAAGTGTTGAGGGATATTCTGATATCTGAGTGAAGCTTTGAATCTGACTCTTCTTCTTCTTCTTCTTCTTCTTCTTCTTCTTCTTCCTCTTCTTCTTCTTTGCGGAAGCCCTAAGGCTTGTTCTACCCATTTATTTTTCCCTCCTGGGATGCCGACGACCAGCTGTCCTTCCACCTCTTGGGAGGCCGTCCTGGTGGTCTGCTGGATGCTGGTTTTCCATTTCTGGTGATTTTTGCCAGTCTGTGGTTTTCCATCCTGGATATGTGCTCGTTCCAGAAGCGTCTCCTAGCGCGTGTCCATCTTACCACGTCCTCTGTCTTGCACTCTTCCCTGATTTCGTTACTCCTTCTTTGATCCCAAAGTGTGTTCCCTGTGATCGATCTTAGTATTCTCATTTCATTGGTTCGTGCCATCCTTTTTGTTTCCG